AGGCCGCCACCATCGCAATTCACCACCCCCCTAGTAGTAGCTTTACCATAAGGAGAACCGCTATGCCGCGAGACGTTTTCTCGTACGAACACTTATAACTTTTCACTAGAACGTCTCCAATAAAACTGAATTTACCATTAGACAAATAAATATAGTCGCATTCGGAAAGTGCATAACGCTTTTTATTGAGATTGTCCATGTAATGAAACAATCGTTTAGATAGAAACGCGAATAGTAAGCGAGAGATTGAGGTTTATTTTGTCCGTTGTATTTCTCGGCGTACTGAGACTCGCGTTTTTAAAATTGATTTTTCTCTATTTACGCACTCTTAAAGTGAACTTTAGTTCGATCCATTGAAAGTTAAGATCCTTAGTTAAGATAGGAAGTGAAGGTCGCGCCGATAATGCATTTTTCGAATAGCGACGACCGATTATACTCCGAAGGTCGTAAAACACGATGAGGTCCCGCGGCTCGCTCTTCCCAAGTCTCTATACACGGACTTGAACGACCTTTGAAAATTATATTTATATCATTCGTAAATAACACTCGTGCGATCATCAATTACTTATAAAAAAAAAAAAATTATCATCGACGTTCGTATTATTGTAGTATTCCATATAATTCCAATACATCCGCGTAAATGTTGACAAACCGCGCTCGTCTGCGTATCGCTTTAATATGTTGTATCGACATCGTCGTCATCATCATTATTATCATAATCATCATACAGACAAAAATTCATTTCAACTAATATACTTATATGAGACTATAACAAAAATTCATAACACCTGCACGATATATATTGTATAATTATAACATAATAATACTATACAAAGAAAGAAAGAAATCTTTCACTCACACCTATCCTTCATTGTATTTATTTAGACAATTTTAAAAGTTAACATTTTAGCCGTATATTTTTAGTACTTCAGTAGCAATATAATATATTATAATAATAGTGATTGTTTTATATACATACATACATACATATTCTTAGTACGTAGTAAATTTAAAAGGCGTTATGGTACTTTTTCGAAAAGTTATAGAATAGTAAATTAAGTATTTGTTCATCTATGAATTATGATTGAACGTATATGTATGTATGTATGTATGAACGTATATATATATATATATATGTGTGGTCGAATATTATATTGAGTTAGAAGAACATTCATTCATTATAAATCGATATTTTTTTTTTTTTTTTTTTTTGACGTTTCATATCTAGGAAACATAACAAAGCATCAGACAAATGTGCGGCCCTGAAAAGGGCCTTTTGGTTTGTTTATTCATGTATACGTGTCACCACAACGTGCTACACTTTATACACTGTCATATACACCTTGATGATGTATCCGTTGTAATGCATAGAGATAGCACGCGATCGTGAACGTAGTGTCGTGGTCGTGGTCGCCGATCGGGCGATCTGTCGGCGACACACGCGCGCACACATGGTGTGGTCAACGAAGATGATGTTCTTAGCCGCCGAAACCGTATAGGGTGCGCCCTTGGCGTTTCAGCGCGTACACGACGTCCATGGCGGTGACGGTCTTCCTTTTCGCGTGCTCGGTGTGTACGTGACCGCGTCGCGGATAACGTTCTCGAGGAACACCTTGAGTACGCCGCGCGTCTCCTCGTAGATCAAACCGGAGATACGTTTCACGCCGCCTCTGCGCGCGAGACGTCGAATGGCCGGCTTCGTGATACCCTGGATGTTGTCGCGGAGAACTTTCCTGTGCCGCTTGGCTCCACCTTTTCCCAATCCTTTACCACCTTTGCCGCGACCGGTCATCTTATAGCTCTGTGTTAAACGCACGCACGAACAGAAGAGAAAAAGAAATCACTCGAACGCGTCCCCGGAGTGGAATAAAAACAGGCACGCCGCTTTTCGCTATTTATACATGTCATGGCCATTTTCGGTGTATGAGGTGCGGGGCGAAGGGTATCGAAAGAACGGTCACGGGTGGGGGGGGGGGGGGGGGGGGGGGTTGTTTGACGATGTTCGATTTAGAAAAGAATATCATCTTATATGAATATAAATTAAATTAATATCACTCTTAACAGATTAAGTAATTAAATAGTAAAAAAAAAAAAAAAAAAAAAGTATATACTCTTAATTAAACACCAATAATGGTATAGCATTAAAGTACAACTAAGTAAGCGCATGAACTAATTGCATTAACATTCATTCGTATCGTTTATTTATTATTATTATTAACATTTATATCGTGTATGTAATTATAGTATTAATTGATTAGTGGTTGAGTGGTGGTAGTAGTAGTAGTAGTAGTAGTAGTAGTAGTAGTAATAGTAATAGTAGTTCTTTATGTTATATTATCTTTTGTACACTAAATGTGTCCTATTAGGTTATAATAGCTTGTGCGGTAGTAGTGTTTGGTGTGAAAATATTTTTAGACGTTTTATGTACAACTAATGAAACAACCATTATTGCTGGCTTTAGGAAATATTTTGCGGCCCTGAAAAGGGCCTTTTGAAAGGGATGAACTGTAACTATATAGATAAAGAATCAATATCGTGTACAGTCCAAACCCATTAGCATTTTAAGCGCGTTCACCGCGAATTCTACGTGCCAATTGAATGTCTTTTGGCATAATGGTGACGCGCTTGGCGTGAATCGCGCACAAGTTCGTGTCCTCGAAGAGACCGACGAGGTAAGCCTCGCTAGCTTCCTGCAGGGCCATCACGGCGGAGCTCTGGAATCGAAGATCGGTCTTGAAGTCCTGTGCGATCTCGCGGACCAACCGCTGGAAGGGAAGCTTGCGAATCAGGAGCTCGGTACTCTTTTGGTAGCGACGGATCTCACGGAGAGCGACGGTGCCGGGCCTGTAGCGATGGGGTTTCTTAACACCGCCCGTTGCCGGTGCGCTCTTGCGCGCAGCTTTAGTGGCGAGCTGTTTACGCGGGGGCAGATTTGCGAGCGGTTTGTTTAGTACGAGCCATTTTACAGAACAAACAGCAGCAACAACAACAACACTACTAAGACCGAGAAAGATATGTGTAACGTCTGTTAACGCGCACGGGTGACTGGAAACTAAAAAAAGTGACACCTTACTCCCTACTTTTATATACACTCATCGGTCTCTCAACCATATATATCTATCTCTTTCTATTCGATGGTGAGACGAACGTGTTCGGGGGGGGGGGGGGGGGGGTTTGACATACCTCACCCAAGCGACCGCCGTTTTCTATTACTAAGACTCGGACTTATAAGTTCCAATAACTGTTGACATTATACATTATGTACATATTAGAGATAAAGTATTCAGTATTGTTTCAAGTAAAAATTATTATTATTATTATTTTATTATTTTATACTACGATATAGTACTACTAGCACTAATATTTCGATCTGACTACGAACGATCCGTTTTAATTATTACATACATTACATTACATTACATTACATTAGCGTGAATTATTATTCTTGTATGTTTAGTTAGTAATGTACTTGTACGAACTACAACACATAGCTGTAGTTCGTACAACGTAAATAGTTATTTATTTAACTATAAAATATTTATTAACCGCAGTTTGTACGGTACAAGGATTATTTTATTGTATAATATGTATATATATATAATATCAACATGATTCCATTGAGTTCTGTTTTGTTCAATCTACAAATGACATTTAAAAATAATGTATATACTTATTATATTGATACTGAATGTTTTCGAAGTACCATGATGTGCGGATGCGAGAGAGACGTTTTAATTATCCTTAGAAACTTTTATAACATACGATCAGTTTTGTGGCCCTGAAAAGGGCCTTTGATATATATTATCTCCTGATGTTGCACTGCTCGCTATCATCATCGCGCTTCGCACATGTTCGCGCTACATAGAAACACTCAATAAAAGACTATGTACATAGTCAGTTATCGTGTGGTTCCAGTAGCGCGGCAAACGGCAGAGAGAGCTGTGATGGAGATGGCGGTGGCGGGGCAGGCAGACACCGACGACGGCACGGTTCTCCTCACTTGGAGCTGGTGTATTTTGGTGACGGCCTTGGTGCCTTCACTGACGGCGTGCTTCGCGAGTTCACCGGGCAGCAACAGTCTCACGGAGGTCTGAACCTCCCTAGAGGTGATGGTCGAACGTTTGTTGTAGTGGGCGAGACGGGAGGCTTCCGCTGCGATGCGCTCGAATATGTCGTTCACGAACGAGTTCATGATCGACATGGCTTTGCTGGATATACCGGTGTCCGGGTGAACTTGTTTGAGCACTTTGTAAATGTAGATTGCGTAGCTCTCCTTCCTCTTGTGCTTCTTCTTTTTTCTTATCGGACTTGGAGATGTTCTTTTGGGCTTTTCCCCGACTTCTTTGCGGCCTTTCCACTAGTTTTAGGCGGCATGATTGATCGCGCTGGTATTTGTAGTACTTGTTACAAACGAGAACAGACAGTGTTAGTTTGTAGTGTTCGTCTCTGTTTAATATGGCCTCTTTTAATATGGATTTTACGATTACTTATTTTATATTTAATAGAGTTTAAAGTTTAATAGGAAATTATAATTTCTTTATATCATCCATCTTAAATACGGTTTTCTTAATCTTATATCGTGTCAACATACATACATACATACAATAAATTAATAAGTTAATGAATGATAATTATATATAAACAAAATACGTTGTTTATTCGGTGTGTAAATATATCTCAATTATAGAGGTTATGATAAAACTATATATTAGACATTTACTATTTTAGTGTCCCGCCCGCCCCGGTTTCGCACGGGTGCAATGTAAGAAGATACTAACGTATGGGGCATTGTTGAGTGATTAATAAATAAAATATTATGATTAGTGTCTATAGTTATCTGCTTACTACTCTCTATTTATATATTATGGTGAATACTACTACTACTACTAATTAATTAAATAAAGATCTTAAAGCGTACGAACAGCGGGAGCTACTTTATAAATACTTATTAATATAATATATATTACTATTATATATAATAATACTATTTTTATAATACTTAATATATATATATATATATATGCTAGATCTCCCTATAACTAATTATAGGTTTAATCGCTAATCATTAGCCATTTTTTTTTTTTTTTTTTTTTTTTTTAAGTAGCAGTGTATAATCAACGTTATTATTTATTATAATGAGACGTTCATATCGTTACCAAGAAACTGAATTTTATATTTTCATTCAGAATAGATTTGCGGCCCTCAAAAGGGCCTTTTAATTAGTTTTGTTTTTGTTTCTCTCGTCGTCCTTAATTAGGCTTTCTTCTCGGTCTTCTTGGGCAGCAGGACGGCCTGGATGTTAGGCAAGACACCGCCTTGAGCGATCGTCACACCGGACAGGAGCTTGTTCAGTTCCTCGTCGTTGCGGATCGCGAGCTGAAGATGTCTAGGTATGATCCTGGTCTTCTTGTTGTCGCGTGCCGCGTTACCGGCCAGCTCGAGAACTTCGGCGGCGAGATACTCCATAACCGCGGCCAAGTACACTGGTGCTCCGGCACCGACACGTTCGGCATAGTTACCTTTGCGCAGCAGCCTGTGTATACGTCCAACGGGGAACTGTAGACCGGCACGGTTAGAACGTGACTTTGCCTTTCCCTTTACTTTACCGCCTTTACCGCGTCCCGACATTATTGATATAGAAGGAAGGAACTACTCGTATGCGTTCGTCCGAGCAACGGCGCGAGACACTAATGCTTTAAAAAATCTCAAGCGGCTCTTTTATACTTATCACGGTGACGACGGTTCGTCTCTCCTAGTGGGGGTTTCGGAGCGTAATCGAGCACGGGCAGTCGGGCAGTCGGGCGAGGGGTGTCTATGCCGCCGGGGGGACGGACGGACGGACGGGCGGGCGTGCGCGCGCACGCACGAATATAGCAATAGTTGTAGTGATAATTAATAGCAATAAATTATTATTATTGTTGTTTTGATGATTCGCGATGCGGTGAATAGAAAACGAGAACGGATCTACGGCGGGCGGGGCTATGTTATAATTACGAATAACATAAATAAATAAATAAATAAATAAATGAATGTGTGGATAAAGTGTAAAACGACGAAGACGCATAGTGTGTATATATACTTTTGCGTCGCGTTTTTACGTCTATTCATTCGTTTATTTATTTATTATCAATATTCGATGCGTGTGTTAAATGTGTAAATAAGTTATAATTATATATAAGTACGTTCGTTCATCTAAGGGAAACAACAAGTAATAATTGTTCTGATACGTTTGATAGCCCTGAAAAGGGCTTTTTAGCGTTGCGTGCTGTCGCCGATGATAGCGAAACACGCGTTCACCGTGTATTCTTCATA